GAGTATGATGATTCAATGGAACATTCCGAGGAATGTGTTCCATATATTGAACTACAACATATCAGGTAAACAAACACATCAAAGGTAAATATTTTAATTAAAAAAAAGTCTCAAATTCATTCTTATGTAAGTTGATCTGTATTGAAATTGACACATTACATTCTTCTTTTGGTTTTTCTGTTGGTCTATGTCTGCCTTGTGATTTTCTGCCTCTGCCACCATGATTGTTTGGGTTGTTCTCAATATTATCATTCATGATGGTTAGCACTGAAATATAGATGTGAATGAAAAATAAATTTGAGGTTTTCTAAGAACTATAGATGTGAATGAAAAAATGAATATAATATGTTGAACGAAAGGGAATACCCGGTTAAAAAAATAAGGTTTAGATTTAATCATATGGATTATGATTAGGATTCTTTTTATTAGGAAATATATAAATGCCAATATTTGTTGACTCATGGTTCTATTATAGTGCACGTGTTATTAGGAAAAACAATAGAAAAATATATTTGTTTAACAATTGCTATTATATAGGAAACGTGTTAATAGGAATTTAGAAAAGTTTTAATTGATTACGGAATCTTTTATTTTTTATGTTAACGATTTTTTGTTCGAAATAGAACCGTGTATTATGAAATATAATTAAAAAAGATCTTTGGTTGTTGATTGCTATCAGATATGTAGGGATCGTGTTAATAGGATTTTTTAGAGATGTTTTAATTGAGTAGGATTCTTTCTTTGGATGTTCCAATATTATGTGTTTTATACAATCCGTTGTAGTTCGAATCCATGTATTATTTTATCACATGTTCAAACACAAATAAGTTCATTTGTACTACACGCAAGTAAACCTACACTTGGAAACTCCAGGATTCAAACGCAAGAGAGCATTTGATCCTTTAGATCTATCTTTATGAAACTACAGCCATGATGGGTGGCAGAGTTATGGAGTCGCAGAGTTATGGAGTCTTGTGCTCTTGAGACGCACCCTCCCTTTATGCAATATAACTTTGTACTAGTTGAGAATTCCTTTGTGCTTATCTGTATCTCCTTTTTTTCTGATATTTCTGTACTAGTTTCTTAGAAATAAGGAATTTTTCAACAGTGTGCTTGAATCTTTGTCTAGCTCTTTGCTTTCAATGATATTAAAATTTCTATCTATCAAGTGGATTGATTGTGCAAAATATTCTCTTCTCGTATATACTTGATTCACACATCCATATTACTTGTTTCTGGACTGAGATAACTTCTTGATTTAGTCAAGATTCTATGCTTCTTAAACTTTACTCAGTTGTGGTCTTGAAACTTTGCCTCACGGTATTCTAAAACCACTAACTATATGACTTGAACAGTATAACCATTAATAAATAGTTATACTAAACTTTAAGGAAATTGTTAATTTTCCGAAAACACCTATCTTGTGCTAGAGTTCCGGTTAATATCTTTCTAGCTTCTTCTCGCAATTTCTTACTTATGGCTTTTAACTCATCATTTATCTTTGGGGACAAATACTTTCTCCAAAGAGATTAAAAAANTTAACTCATCATTTATCTTTGGGGACAAATACTTTCTCCAAAGAAAAAAAAAAAAAAAAACATATTAGTCTTTACTTATTAAACAGTCTATCTTTAACTTTCACATGTCCAGATTACATCTATAATTAAGATGTAATAAACAAATTTAGGTTAATTGAATTTAATAATTAATACACGACAAAAATATTGCAAAACATCTATTTAATATTGCAAATTGAATAAATTAAAATTTGAAAAAAAAATAAGCAAGTAATAATTTCTTACCAAACAACATAGTTTCATCTATATTGTCAATATCCATTAAAGTTGCAAAATCTCTAAAGATGAAACGGTATGTAGGGAAAGGATGAGACCACTTGATAAATTTGGTATTCTTGTTCAGCACAAGCCTCCAAAGGCTTATTGTCGTTTGGTAAATGCCAGTATTACTTTCGATTTGATAATTTTTCAAGACATAGACGACCTCTTCTTCAACTTGGTTGATGAAATTAGCAATATGCATGTGTCGGGCCAGAACATTGATACGTCCTCCTTTACAAAGTACATAAAACAAACAATTATTCAAATTATTATGCAACATTACAATTCTGAAAAAATAATGTTAATACATAAATGTCATTGAAATACCTCAGAATCGTGCAAAATGAATTAAAGGGGATTTTTATAGCCTTTATCCTCCTCGCGTTGGAACATTCTAATGGCGCGTAGCTTAATGAAGGGTCGGTAAGTTCTTTTGAGGTCTTTAATAGTACCGAAAGCAGGAGGCATTTTGAAAAGTTGAGGATCGGTAAAATAAAAGGATGATTTCTGGGGAATTCTCTTATCAGATCGTGTACTCACAATCTGTTACCGTGGGGTGTTTATATAGTGCGTATATGTGTGCTAAACAATGTATACCTTTTTTTATGTATATTATATTATTTCCGAAAATATAAAATATAAGATGAATATTAAATTGAGATCTTAAAAAGAAAGAAAGTAAATCAAGTTTTGAGATTTAAAGAATGTGTAAATTAGAATCTCCTATATAATACGTATGATATATATTTCAATATTGTTTATTCCATGTTTGAAAGACAAATTGTTATATGTACATATCATGAAAGATATCAACTGGTTTATATTCTATATATATTTTTGAATTAATCGCAAAGAGAATCGACCAATTTATACATCTTTTTTAATACATTACTAATTTTTGAATGATAGCAGAGATCTATATAGAACATCCACTACTTGATTCTTTTCGTGATTAAAAAGAAACAAAATTCTGTACAGATATATAAAAAATGAAACATAGTTATTATAAAAGTATTGAGACATTTATGCACACGTTACGTGTACAAATAAATGTTACATCTTTATACATTACTGTTATTTAATTAATTATACGTATTTGAATGATAGGAAAGATCTTTATACAACATCCACTAACTGATTATTTTCGTGATTAAAAAGAAACAAAATTTTGTACAGATACATAAAAAATGAAAGATAGTTATCATAACAGTATTGAGATATTTATGCACACGTTTCATTTGAATATTATAATTTTTTAGATTTGGGTAATTGACTCTTTATTATGATCTTGCAGGTATGGAATCTGATTACGCAATTTGGAAGGAAGTGATTTACTCGAAGGATTCTATTTAGAAGATTTTATTTACCAACCATTATAAACTTAATTATGGAATTGTGTATCACGAAATTTGAGGACTCTATTTAGAAGATTGTATTGAACAACCATAATATAATTAAGTAAGGAATTGAGTGACATTTTTAAATTTAAATGATAACCATATAAGAAACAACCATAGTATCGGCCGTGATTTACGTTCATTGCATTAAAAAAACTGAGAACGTGCATTTAAAAAATTCAAACAAAATTTGAGGGGGAAAATAAAGAATTGAGCGGGAAAATGAAAATATTTTTCAAATAATTTATCTTCTCTCTATTATATAGTAATAGATTGAATTAAAAATTGTAATTTCTTCTATAATTAAATATAAATTATACTGGGTAGTGGCATCTTAACTGGTTACCACTTGCATGCATCATGTGTAGTATAGAACTGTAGATAGAAGACAAAAAACATTNAAACAACAACAACAACAAAGGAAAAGGACGGACAAACATTATCCATTCATCAATCACACATCCAACATTCCAACTCCTTTTCCTTCTTCCCCAACTCTTGACTAGAAAAACGAAAAAAAAAAATGTTGGCTGCTGCTCAAATTTCTTCTTTCATCTTTTTCCTTTCGATCGCCACCTTCCACTCACTTTCTCGAGCAACACCTACAAACTCCACGGACCCCATTCTCTACGAAATTCTGCCCTTCATACGCGTGTACCGAAACGGCACAATTCAGAGATTCATCGGCCAGGATTACGCCCCGCCGTCGCCAATCACCCCGGATCCCGGCGGCGTCCTCTCCAAGGACGTCAATGTCTCCGAAAAATTAGGCCTCTCGGCCCGAATCTATCTCCCGCCCAGAAAACCCCACAGATCCGGGAAACTCCCCCTCGTGATCTACTACCACGGCGGTGGGTTCGTCACCGAGTCCGCCTTCTCGCCGTCCTACCACCGCCACCTGAGCCTACTCGCGGCTCGGGCCGGGGTTTTGGCCCTGTCCGTAAACTACAGATTAGCCCCCGAAAACCCTCTCCCCGCCGCCTACGAAGATTCCTGGCTGGCGCTGAAATGGTCATTGAACAGCACCGAGCCCTGGCTCGCCAAATTCGCCGATTTCCGGCGCGTTTACTTGGGAGGGGACAGCGCCGGCGCCAACATCGCGCACCACATGGCAATTCGGGTCGGGTCGGAGGATCCGGGTTTCAAAATCAGTGGGATGTTTTTGAACTGCCCTTACTTCTTGGGGAAGAGGGCCATTGGGAATGAATCGGCCTATCCCTATCTGAAAACCCAGATGCAGAAACTTTGGATCTACGCCTACCCGAACAATGGATTGGGTCTGGATAACCCGCTCGTTAACCCGGATAAAGATCCGAATCTGGCAAAGCTGGGGTGCGGGCGGGTGGCTGTGTTCGTGGCTGGGAATGACGGGCTGCGGTTTAGAGGTCGGAATTATGTGGCGTCACTGGAAAAGAGTGGGTGGAAAGGGAAAGTCAAGGTTGTGGAATTTAAAGGTGAGGATCATGTTTTCAATCTTGGGAAACCTGACAGTCCTAATGCCCTTCTAATGCTCAAGCTGCTGGCTTATTTTCTCAATGGTCGGTGGATTTAAGGCTGTCTTTGTTCGGGGATTTTATGTTTTACTTTTCTTGTGCGCTGGTGGTTATGTTGAGTTGTATCGTGTGTTTGTAGTTTGTACTTTGTATCTTGAATTTGTGGTGTTGCGAGTACCGTGAATTTGAGGAGTTCCGTGAATTTGAGGAGTAGCTCTTCGATGGTTTCATGTAAGATCTTACCAGAGTCGATGAGATCTATGGGAAAAGAAATTTGGTTTGAAACTTGAATTTAGTGAGAAAAAAAGTCGTGAGTGGGGTTTACGAAACGATAGGGGTATTATATATAATGCACAAATGTGCAGAAAGCAGCTACAAACTGATTACAGCCAGCCAACAGCTGAGTACAAGCAGCCAATAGCTAAAAACTGGGAGAACAGGACAAAAGCCTGCCTAGAACCGACCCCAACGGGTTGAGGCACAATCCTTACACTAGATAAAACTAGAATAAGAAAACCTAAGAAGGGCAAACCAATGAGGAAGCTCCTAAGTGACCAACATGGTGCATAAAAATCAAACAAACATAATATTTGCTATTTCCACACCAACAACAAATAGGGTCAACTTTCACACCCTTCGAGTTTAGTTTACATCCAGTCCCCATCCAACCATGCATGCATTTCCATATGAAGTTCTTGATCTTTGGTTTCACCTGCAATTTTCAGGTGTTGTGCCATGTCCTTTGACTTCTTGTATTCCCAGAGCTTGACCCAATTCCACCTTCTTGTTCTTTTTGTTTCTGTTGGATTGCCTTGTAACCTTCTTTCACAGTGAACACACCTTTTTTGTGGGTATGCCAAATGAGTTTGTCTTTTAGTCCCGTCTGACTGATATGGACTTTTAAGATCATCTCAGCCTCTCTTTGATTGAAAGTTTGCAATATTAATTCCCTGTCCCAAGCTTTTCCACCTGCAAGCATTAAATCAGAGACTTTGTGCAGATTAGCTCTATCCTCTTCAAAACAACACTGGGGTTTGAAATTTTCAGCATTAGCAAGCCAAGGAGAATTCCAGATGCTGATTGAACATTTATTCCCCACTTGGTATCCCATACCAATCTCTAATAACTTTCTGGTATCTAGCCAGCTTTTCCACATCCAGGAGTCCTGGCCTTTTTTAGAATTTTCCATTTTTTTTTTAAATATTTTCCTCCCAATAATATGCTCATAAGAGTATTAGGCTTTGTCAACATCCTCTATATTTTCTTGAGTGTCAGAGCCTCATTTAGATCACCTAATTCTCTAAAACCCATCCCTCCTTCTAACTTACCCTCAGCCAATTTTTTCCAACTAGCCCAATGCACTCTATTCCCACCCACTGCATTTTTTCCCCACCAAAAAGCTGTTATTTCTCTACAAATCCCATCATACCCACTCTTAGGAATTTTGAACACTGACATGACATAAATAGGAAGGGCACTCAACACAGTTTTCACTAAAATCTCTCTCCTAGCCTCACTAAGAAAAGTATTCTTCCAATTTGATATTCTAAACATCACACACTCTTTAACAAAAGAAAAAGTGTCTTTTTTTATTTCTGCCTATACCCAAAGGTAGCCCCAGGTACCTAGAGTTTTTAGCCAACACTATTCCATGCAAATTATGAGATTTCAAGTTTCAGAGTTTCAGGAGTGTTCCTTGAGAAAAATATGCTGGATTTTTGGAGATTTACTGCTTGTCCAGAGGCTTCAATGTAATCCCTTAGGATTTTTAGAACCAAAGAGGTATGATGCTTATCAGCTTGACAAGAAAGCAATGAATCATCAGCAAAAAACAAGTGAGAGATAATAGGGGAATGTTTACTAATCTGCAGCCCTTTGAAAGATGAAAACAAAATAGCTTGTTTGATGAGGTTAGAGAAAGCTTCAGTCACAATGATAAACAAATATGGTGAAAGTGGGTCTCCTTGTCTCAACCTCCTAGAAGGCAAAACACTACCCATAGCTTGGCCATTAATATTAAAGGAAAAAGATGAAGAACTAAGGCAAGACCAAACCCATCTGTCTACAGACTTTAATCAAAAAGCTCCACTCCACTCTATCATAGGCTTTTGCCATATCAAGCTTGAGGGCCATGAAACATTTTTTTCCTTTGGATTTGGTTTTAAGGAAGTGGATACACTCATAGCTATAACAATATTATCCAAAATTTGCCTATCTGGCACAAAGCAGCTTGTGATTGGGATATGCACACATGCAGGACATTCTTCAGCCTATTTGCTAGAATCTTTGCTATCAATCTATAAGTTATAGTACACAAGCTGATGGGCCTAAAATCTGAAACTTACTGAGGGTCTTTAACTTTGGGTATGAGGGTTATAACAGTATGGTTTGTGGCTTTAGGAATGCAAGACGAAGTGAAGAAATTAGAAACAGCCTCACACAGATCTTTTTTAATAATAGGCCAAGCATGCTGAAAAAAAAAAGGAGAGAATCCATCAATACCTGGTGCCTTGCTAGGATCCATAGCCCACAGAGTATCACATCTTGGGTTTTCAGAACTAAACAACTGATTGAAGAATTCCACAATTCCTGTCAATGATTCCTCTGAGTTTCTGCACCTTTCCCCATTTCTTTTCAGATGATGATCTAGGCTATTTCCTCTTTTTCTCTGTTTAACACAAGCTTTAGAGAAGCTTGTGTTTCTATCTCCCTCATTGAGCCATCTTATTCTTGATTTCTGTTTCTAAAACACTTCCTCTTCTTTGTATGCCTGATTTACTTTATCTTTGCACTCCTTCCACTCACACCAATCTCTTTGTCCTCCTTGCACCCCCATTACTGCCAACTTTGCATTGCACTCCTCAATCATTTTTGCAGAGTTTGTAGATTGCAAGGCTGCCCATCTCAGCAGCCCACCCCTTACCTGCCTCAATTTTTTCTAAAATTTATACATTCCATGCCCTGTAACATTCACATCCCAGGCCTTTTTCACACATTCCTCAAAACCTGCAGCCTTTACCCATTTACTATCAAAGAAAAACCGCTTCGTTGATCTTTTCCCTCCAGTCCCAGTGTCCATTAATAACAGGCAACGATCAGAAGAAATTAAAGGGATATGTAACACTGATGTGTTTTGGAAAAGCAAAAACCAATCTGGAGACAGAAAGACCCTATCTAATTTTTCTTCAACAAATTGACCACCTGCCCTATTATTAGTCCAGGTAAAAGGGTGACCTATACTAGGTCAATCCATTAGATTTAAAACCTCAGTGAATCTCCTAAAATTATGAAAACTAGCCTCCCCCTGACCAAACCTCCATTCTTCTCACTATTATTTAAAATGTCATTAAAATCTCCTGCAATAAACCACAGACTTCCCCACCTTAAGTGATGCCTAATCAACATATTCCACTGATTTTGTCTCTCAGTTGAATCCACAATAGCATAAACAAAATTAGCCCACATCTTCTCACTCTCCCCATCCCTTAAAAAACACACTTCCAACCAGAATTGATTTCGCACAACTTCAAGAACAGAAATACAAGACTCCCAACACAACAAAAGACTACCGCTATTACCTACAGGATTAACAACTACCCACCTATTGTCAACTTTTATATTTTTACAAACAGTTTCAACAAAAGGAGCTTTCTTCCTGGTTTCAGACAAAAATATAAAATTTGGGAGATAGACTCTTTTCTGAGCCTTCAACTGGGAAATTGTAGAGGGTCCTCCAAAACCTCTACAATTCCACGCCAAAACTCATTTTAAACTTTAGGACCAGTTATGGCTGGTTGCCTCCACCAAATTTTCAGATAGGATTTCAGAAAGTTTTTGCTTTTTTGATTCAGAAACACTTTAACTAGCCTCAACTCCTAATTTATCAACAAATTTTCTTTTAAGATTCACAAAAACAGATTGATCCACATTAGAAACAGGTATGGGTATAGAAGATTCTTCTTTCCCTTCAGAAACTTGATTTCTGTTTATCCTCACAAAAGTTTTAGGTTTCTTAAGAGCAGGCAATGGATCATGACATTGTTGGACATGGATATTGACAAGAGTGGTGAGGCCACCTTGATCACTCCTCACATCAAGATCCATTTGTTCTAACACAGACACATTATTCACATCTACACTCTGCTCCACTGTGGGTGGTGAAGGAACTATAGGCACTGCACTAGACACTACCTTGTTAAGCTCATTTTCATTTTCCTGATTTTCTACATGATTCCTAACTAGACTAAGACTAGCAACAACCTGATCTTCTTCTATATTAGGACTCTTATTCATACCCACATGTTTTTTAGCTTGACTAGAAGCAGTATTTATCTTGACACTATTAGGGCTAGAAGACCTAATGTAATGCCCCGTTTATTTGTGGATTATTTGGATTTATTTTTATTATTTTTATTGCTATTATTATTGTTATTATTAATTGGTAATAATATTTATATTTTATTTTATTGAATGCCATTATATTTATTTATTTGTCAAATGTGTTTAAATGCTAATTGTGAAATTTGTCTAATGGTTTATTTGATTTTTGTGATTTATTAAATTATTAATATGTATAAATGTGTATGTGATAATGTGTAGAATATATATGTTTATTTTTCGGTTTATTTTTATCGCGCGTTTGCATTCGAAATCGAGCCCGATAATTTTGTTGTAAACGAATTGGGCCCGAATATATCTGTTTAAATTTTTATTTGAGCCCGTGAGCTGTTTTGTTGTCCCAACCGGCCCAAAAATCTTATTGGCCCAAATTCCTCGGGCCCGGCCCGACAGATTTTCCTTTTTCCTCTTTCCTAGCGTGCGTGTGTGTGAGTTTGTGTTTGCCTTGGACAACAAGGGATCAAAACCTAATACAAGTATATATATATATTTGTCCCTCACGTTTTTGTTCTCTTTGCACAATAAATCCCGCAGCTTTTTGTTTCGTCTCTCCCAATCTGCTCCCATCTCTCGTCCCTCTCTTCTTCTGATTTTCTCGCGCAGCAGGAAAAGAAAAAAAAAAAATTTAATATCATCACCATCATCGTTCACCCTCATCGTTCATCATCCCCTCCGATAATCTCCCTTCATCACCATCCTCATCCTCGTTCGCTGCCATCATCGCCGGCGTGAAGAACCAGTCCGGCGGCCCTCCTCCCTGCGAGCAGCCCGCGACCAGCCCTCCGGCAACCTCTGGGCGCGTCATTCCGGCGAGCTCGACGTCCCTTCGAGCAGCGTCCGGCGACCTCTCTTTCCGTTCCCGACGAGCCCGTGAACCAGCGGCTTCCCTCCGACGAGAAGCTTTCCTCCGGCGACCTTGCAGCGACAACCGGCGACCGACCAGCAGCAGCAGCTTCGTTCATTCCGTGCACAGCGAGCCTTCTCTTCCGGCGAGACGACCTTTTTCCGTCGAGCTTAAACCCCGTTCGTGTTCGTCCGTTTTCGTTTGATTCCCGAGAACGGTACAAAGGCTCGATCCCGTCTCGTTTATATCGTTTATGTTATTCATGAATATGTGTGATTTGCGTGACGTAAATAATGTGCGTTAGATTGTTCGTTATGATTTTATGTGATTGATATGATTTTATGTGTTATCGTATGTTCGGGATCTCTTCGATTTTCTCGAAAATCGAACGAGACCTCGAAAGTCGTGTAAGTCGGTGGATAATGGAACAATGTCGAGTCCTTGGTCTTATGAAAAGGCCTCGGACGATAAATTGTGTGTTGTGATTTAATTATCAAGTTGTCGAGCTTGTTAATCGCTGTTTTGATGTTCGAATTTTTAAAAATAGCTCGCTGCTCGAAACGATGTGAAATTTTGAGGGATGTGTTATCTGACCATATTCTGCCTTGTGTAAAATTTTCATAATTTTTTGAGACCTGTAGCTATTTTTAATAATTAATTTGTATTCTGTCCAGAATATTGTTAAATGCATAATAAATTCATGCTTGACTGAAATGAGCTGAAATTCGAATATGTCGTGCCTCTGTGACTTATATGTGTTGTGTTAAATTTTTGGAATTTTTGGAGTTGATTTGATATGGATAATATTTTATTTATTGATTCGGCAGAAATGTTGTTTGAATTTTTAAAAATCGGTTACTGCATGGAAAATTCTGAAATTTTGCTGAGAGTCATATTTTAGGTGTTTGATCATGTTTGTAAAATATGGAAATTTTTAGTGTCTGTTTTGATTCAGTTTGAATTTAAATTCGATAAACTGCTGTTGCTCGTTTGAATTTTTAAAAATAGCAGCAGTTATCATTTAAAGCTGGAATTTTTATAAGTGAGCTTTGACATACTGAATGTTGTTGTGTAAAATTTTCAGGTTCAGATTCATTCATTAAGTCTGAGTATGGATTAATGTGCCCTTTTTGCTGAATTACTGTTCGAATTTTATAAAATAGGATATTTCGAGTTTAAAGCTGAAACTTTGTGATTTTACATGTTTCTGGGAGATAAAATTTTGTATAAATTTTCAGAGCTTAATTCGTAGGATATCTTGACCTTTTATTTTTCACGCGATTAAATGATTTCAATTTTCGAGCATAATTGTTATATTGAATTTGGATGGCCTTGCTTTTTGGGTTTTATGTGTGTTTGACTTGGTCAAACCTTAGATGGATTTTTGTGAACTCCCTTAAGTGGTTTGGTCGAGTTTAGGGCCGAGTCCTAGTGTTCCACATCCACAGGACTTCACGAACTACTTAGTCGAAACGAGTTCGACTAGGTCTGTCTTGTGATTTCCAGTTTAAGTCGAGATAGATTCTGATTGTAGGATCTTGGCATAATGTAGGTGTTTGAGGAGTCGAGCCTCGGTCCTCATCTTTTCTGATTTGCTCTCATCAATCCGAAATTTCCAGGTGAGTTATTCGAAATTTATCTATGCATATGTGTGATTTATTTATGATAAAAGTTTGGTGTGATCTATGTATGAAAATGAACATGTAGCCTATCGATGTGAGCTTGATGGCCATCGGTACGGTTGTCCCCGTATGATAAGATACGGTTACCCAGTGAGGTAAATCTCATTAAGACCTATGAGAAGGCCGTGTCATTGATGTGGCACGCACTCACATGTTTCACTGATATGGCATGGCTTAGCTTTGATGAGCATAGATGTACATGAGTGAGTCTTTGATGAGACTAGAGTCATTGATGTGACTAGAGATGTGACATGATTTAATTGTTTATGTTCATGCTGCGACCATACCATTTATAAGTTATTCATGTGCATAATGTGAGTACGATAGTTAACTGTACTCACTCCCACCTGCTCGTAATTGATGCAGGTTAAGCAGTTGGCGGTGACGAGACGAGATGACGAGTGGTGGTTATGACATTTATTTATTTAATTTTGCTTCCGCTTAGTTTATGAACTCATGTCGAGATTTGGATATTGATCATGTCGTTTGAAACTTGGAAGTTATGAATTATCTTTTGTGATTTTGAATTTAATGAATGCTAGTGAGGTTTATGATTCAATGTTCGAGCATGCTATCTTTCTTTAATGTGGCTGTTTTTGCGGATAAAAGCTTTTGGTAAAATGAGTAGCGCCCACTGAGTTTTAAATTAAATTTAAGGTTGAAAAAAAAATTAAATTATTGTGATTTTTTTTTTGTTAAATAAATTCGATAAATATTTCAAAATAAAGTGGGGCGTTACACCTAATTTCCCTAGACTCATTAGAACCCCCAGATATGCCTTTCAACCAATCCCTAAATTGACCAGTCTTTAACACACCCCTTTGAACATCAGATTTCTTCATTTCACATTGCCTGTCATTATGTCCTATTTTACTGTAATAGAAACAGAAGGTTAACAGGTTCTCATACCTGGAATCAATCCACTGTTCCTCCTGCCCCAATTTCAACATAGTGCCTCTCATAATGGGTTCTGCCAGGTTTATTTCTGCAAGGATTTTCACCATTCTTCCATTTAAACCTCCAACCCCAAGAATATGGACATCACTAACTTTGCTGAAGAGCTTTCCCACTTTCACACCTATTTCTTCAGAAATCCAATGTATTGGGAGATTATAGATTTGAACCCACAAGTCGGAATGGTAAAGACAAAAACGACATAAGCAGCCATTTGACAAAAAAAACTCAAATACCTACTAATGTCGGGGGCCTCTCTGTTGATAACCGACTTGGTTACATGAGGATAGAGCCGAAGATTAATTGTTTTGTTCGATTAATGATTCTTCAGAAATGGCTAAACTTAGCTCAAGTCGGTACCAGTCAGATATGTTGTTCACCGACTTCTAGATGGTCAAACCGACATCAAGATAATCAGCGAAGTAAAACCAACTGTCTATCAGAAGCCGACTACCGACTTCACCAATATGATTATATCTACAAAAGATTATCCACTCATCCAACATCCGAGAAGATCGAATTTTCAAACAAAAGGAGCTGTACACATTCGATTGGGCCATCAAAACAAACAACAATCATTGATGTTTCCTCATTCTGCTACACACCGTTTAAATTGAAGCTGCTCAACATTAAATGCGATCTTATCTACCTCGGACAAAAAGACAAAAGCAACCGAACTATAAATAGCAGAATTTATGGTTGTACAAGGATCCTTTTTTTTGGAATCTTTTACGCACATTGTACATGGACTTGAAATGATCTCGGTCAAGAACAAAAAAACCGACTTCCTGTACTCTTGTGAACATATCAATAAAATCCAACTTTATATTAATCTTTGATTAAACACATCTAGCTGTTTATAATTTTGAGTTGTTAATTTCGCACAACAACACTAGCTTATAGCTTATCAGTAATTTTTGAGCTTATATCTTATAGCTTATGACTTATATCTGAAAAGCTAGCTAATATGATAAAAGTGTTTGGTAAAATTAGCTGAAATAAAAATTTCAACGAGCTTATTTGAAAAGCTACCCAAAGAAGCTTATGAAATAAGCTCGAGCTTTTGAAATAAGCTCGTCCTACCAAACGAAGGTTATTTAGATACATGGAGTTTATAAGCTAACCAAATAAGCTATAAGCTAGCTTATTTGTCTACCAAAAATAGCCAAGTAGTCCCATAATTATAAGATGCATCAAAACAGTCTTGTTAGATACCAGTTAATCAATAGTACTCTCGTAACTCTTAAAATAATTTACTTGATAACAATTTTGGTTGGAGACGTTGGAATTTCGATCAAAAAATCATTG